CAAAAAGAAGGAATATGAGGGGGGGAAGAGGAAGGGGGAATAAAGGAGGACGGAGGAGGGGGGGAGGGGGGAACAAGGAAGAGGAGGACGCGGGGGAGGAGGAGCGAGGGGCGAGGAGCGAGGAGCAAAGGGCGAGGAACAAGGAGGGTAAAGGGATATTGAGCGAGGGGCGAGGAGGAGGAGAGAAGGGCGAGGAGCGAGGAGCGAGGACCGAGGGCGAGCGAGGAGGAACGAGGATCGAGGAACGCGGAGCAAGGAACGAGAATCAGGAAAAGGAGGAGGAGGAGGAGGAGGAGAAAAAGGAGGATGACCAGGAGGAGGAGGACGAGGACTATCGGGAAGAGGAGGAGGAGGACGAGGACGAGGAGGAAGCAGGAGGAGGAGGGGGAGGGGGAGGAGAAAGGAACGAGGAACGAGGGGCGAGGAGCAAGAGGCGAGGGGCGCGGAGGAGTGAGGAGGAGCGAAGAGGAGCCAAGGGGAGCGAGGAGGAGCGAGGATGAGCGAGGAGGAGCGAGGCGCCAGGAGCGAGAAGCGAGGAACGAAGACCGAATAACGAAAAACGAGGAGCAAGGAGGGAGGAGGAAGAAGAGGAGGAGGAAAAGGAGGAGGAAGGGGAGAATGAGGACGAGGGCGAGGACGAGGCTGCTGCAGGATGTTGCAGGCCTGATCTCCGCAGTTGCGACTCGCGCGCGGCGGCGACGATTGAAGCCTCGCTCACCCCGGGCCGCCCCTGGGCGATGGAGGTCGGCTTTGGTCAAAATCGAAAGCCCCCTCGCCTGAGGTCTTGGGGGGGGCTCCTGCAAAACGGCGCGGCTGAAACATCAGCCACTGCGCTCCGCGCTCCCCCCGCGGCGGCGGCGTTGGCGCTCCGCGCTTTCCGGAACACTGGCCGCCGCCGCGGGGGCCTCCGGCCCCGGCCCCGGCGAAGGAGTGGGAGGCAGTGCGACTATGAACCCTGGAGGAGAAAAATAACGGGAGAAGGGGAGGAGAAGGGGGGCCCGGAGGAAGGAGGAGGGGAGGGGCGCCCCCCCCCCCGCGGCCTACCACTCTCCCCCAGGGAGGGGCGCGCGATGACGAGGAGAAGGGGGATGATGGGAGGAAAAGAAGAAACGACGAGGAGGAGCAAGGAGCGACGAGGGAGGAGGGGCGAAGAGAAGCGAGGATCGCGGAAAACTGATCGAGGAGCGACGAGAAGGAGGGAAACGAGGAGGACAAGAACGAGGAGGGGGAGGAGGAGGAAAAGGAGGAGGAGGAAAAGTAATAGTAATCGTGGTGGACGTAGTAGTTGCAAGAGTACTGGTAGTTGTAGTAGGTTTACTCGTTGCAATAGTAAACATAATAAACGTCGTAGTAGTAGTAGTAGTAGTAGTAGTAGTAGTAGTAGTAGTAGTAGTCGTAGTAGTAGTAGTAGTAGTCGTCGAATTCGTAGAAGTAGTCGTAGTAGTAGTAGTAGTAGTAGTAGTAGTAGTAGTAGTAGTAGTAGTAGTAGTAGTAGTAGTAGTAGTAGTAGTAGTAGAGTAGTAGCAGTAGTAGTAGTAGTAGTAGTAGTAGTAGTAATCGTAGTAGTAATCGTAGTAGTAGTAGTAGTAGTAGTAGTAGTAGTAGTAGTAGTACTAATTGGGTAGTAACCGTAGAAGTCGTAATCGTAGAAGTAGAAGTAACAGTAAGGGTAATAGTAGTCGTAGTAATCGTAGTAGTAAGAGGAGTAGTCGCAAAAGTGGTAGTAGTAATAATTCTAGTAGTGGTAGTAGTCGTAGTCGTCGTAGTAGTCCTAGTAGTAGCAGACATGCAAGTTGTAGTGGTAGTAGTAGCAGTAGTAGTGGTAATGGTAGTAGTAGAACTACTAGTAGACGTCGTAAATCTAATAATAGTGATACTCGCAGTAATGATAGTAGTCGTCGTAGTAGTCGTAGTAGTAGCAGTAGTCGCAGTCGCTGCACTAGCAGAAATCAAAATAGTAGTAGGAGTAATCATACCAGTAATAGTAATCGTAGTATTAGTCGTATTAGTAGTAGTAGTCGTAGTGGTAATGATATCGTAGTAGGAGTAGTAGTAATATTAGTAGCAGCAGCAGTAGTAACAACAGTAGTCGTAGTAGTAGTGGTAGTAGTCGGCGTAGTAGTAGTAGTAGTAGTAGAAGTAGTAGTAGTAGTAGTAGTAGTAGTGGCAATCGTAGTAGTGGTAGTAGTGGTATTGATAGTCGTAGTGGTAGCAGTTGTAATAATACTATCAATACTAGTGAAGGTCGTAGTAGTAGCAACAGTAATGGCAATAGTAGGAGTACTACTGATAGTAGTACTGGAAGGAGCAGTGGTAGTAGTAATGGTGGTAGTAGAAGTAGTAGTAGTAGTAATAGGAGTAGGAGTAGTAGTAAGAGTAGTAATCGTGGTAGTAGTTGTAGTAGTAAATATATGATTGCTAGTCGTAGTAGTAGTAGTAGTAGTAGTAGTAGTAGTAGTAGTAGTAGTAGTGGTAGTAGTAGTAGTAGTAGTAGTAGTAGTAGTGATAGCACTAGTAGTAGTCGTCGTCGCAGTAGTAGTAGTAGTAGTAGCAGTAGTCGTCGTAGTGGATGGTGGTAGTACTAGTACAAGTAGGAGTAGCCGTAGTAGTAATAATGCCCGTAGTAGTCGTATGAATAGCAGGCGTCGTCGTCGTCGTCGTAGTAGTGATAGTAGGTCGTAGTAGCAGCACCAGCACTACCAATAAAGGCAGTAGTCGTAGAATAACTACTAGCACAGGTCGTGCTAGTAGTAACAATTTTTCACAGACAAACATGTATGTCAAAAAAACGGAATAATGACAATAGTCGTGGTAGCAGTAGCAGTCATAACGTAAATCGTAACACTATGGATGGTAGTCGTCGCAGCAGCAGTAGTAGTAATAGTGATAGTAGCAGTACTAGTAATCGTCGTAGTGGTAGTCGTCGTAGTAGTAGTAGTAGTAGTAGTAGTAGTAGTAGTAGTGGTAGTAGTAGTAGTAGTAGTAGTAGTAGTAGCAGTCGTCGTCGTAGTCGCCGTCGGCGTCGCCGTAGTAATAGTGGTAGTAACAATAGTCGCCGCAGTGGTTGTAGTCGTAGCCGTAGCGGCCGTAGAAGCCAAAATCATAATAGAGTTGTCGTGGGTAGTAGTAGCAGAAATGCCGATAAAAAATGCTGGTAGTTACTAGCAGTAGAAGCAGTCGTAGTCGTAGTCGTAGTCGTAGTAGTAGTAGTAGTAGTAGTAGTAGTAGTAGTAGTAGTAGTGGTAGTAATACTTGTGAAAGTACTAATAGTAGTAGTAGCCGTCGTAGTGGTAGTAGCAGCAGTGGTAGTAGTACTGGTAGTAGTAGTAGTAGTAGTAGTAGTAGTCGTAGTAGTAGTAGTAGAAGTAGTAGTAGTAGTCGTAGTAGTAATAGTAGTAGTAACAGCAGACATGCACATACCAAGGCTAAGAACGGTTTGTCATATTCTTCGTCGAAGTAGTCGTATTAGTAGTAGTAGTAGTAGTAGAAGTAGTAGTAGTAGTAGTAGGAGCAGTAGTAGCAGTAGTCGTCGTCGTAGTAGTAGTGGTGGTAATAGTAGTAGTAGTAGTAGTCGTACTAGTCGTACTAGTCGTAGTAGTAGTACTAGTCGTACTAGGTCGTACTAGTAGTAGTAGAAGAAGTAGTAGTAGTACTAGTATTCGTAGAAGTAGTAGTATTAGTAGTAGTAGTAGTAGTAGTACTCGTAGTAGTAGTCGTAGTAGTAGTAGTAGTAGTAGTAGTACTAGTACTGGTAGTAGTAATAGTAGTAGTAGTAGTAGTAGTAGTAGTAGTAGTAGTAGTAGTCGTAGTCGTAGCAGTGGCCGTAATACTAGTCGTATTAGTAGTGGTGGTAGTTGTCGTAGTAGTAGTAGTAGTAAAACTGAGAATCGTGAGCATAGAAGTAGGTCGTAGCAGTACTAGTAGTTGTATCAGTTGTAGTCGTAGTAGTGGTAGTAGTAGTAGTAGTAGTAATAGTAGTAGTGGACAAGTAGTCGTGAAGTAGTAGTAGTGTACTAATTGTGGTAGTAGTGGTAGTCGTAGTGGTAGTAGCCGTAGCAATAGTAGTAGTAACAGTAGTAGTAGTAGTCGTAGTAGTCGTAGTAGTAGCAGTGGTCGCCGTGGTTGTCGTCGTAGTAGTAGCAGTAGTCCTCGTAGTGGTAGTAGAAGTAGAAGTAGTAGCAGTAGTGGTAGTAGTACTAGTAATAGTAATGGTGGTAGTAGCAGTCGTAGTAGTAGTAGTAGTAGTAGTAGTAGTAGTTGTAGTAGTAGTAGTAGTAGTAGTCGTAGTAGTAGTGGTAGTAGTAGTAGTAGTAGTAGTAGTCGTAGTGGTAGAAGTAGCAGTAGTAGTAGTAGTATTAGTAGTAGTAGTCGCCGTAGTAGTAGTAGTAGTAGTAGTAGTAGTCGTAGTAGTAGTCGTAGTCGTAGTCGTAGTAGTCGTAGTAGTAGTAGAAGTAG